CCAGGAGCCAGAAGAGAGGGGGACCGGACTGGGAATCAGACAGCGACCCCACAGCAGGGACTTGTTCAGCACATGCCAGGCAGGTGGGTCAATCCCCGGCTAAGGAGGGGGGGGGGGGGGGTCACCTGAGGCCTGCTCAGCCGGGAACCCAGCCCCAAGTGAAAGAGCTTCGATCCTAGCAGGGACCCACAGCCCGCCCACCGGGGAAGGGGACGCGAGCCGGCGGATCCAGCCAGCCAGGCGAGGGTGTGGGGCCGGTGGGGCGGCCAGGCTCACGTCTTTGATGAGGAGGGCGTGCAGCATGACGTCCGTCAGCCCGTTGTCCTGCAGCGAGGAGAGCAGTGAGGGCTCCTGGAACACGAAGACCGTCACCACTTCGGTGGCTGCGGGGCGGAGGAGAGAGCACGGTGGGTGAGGGACGGCCATCCCACTCCTCTCGGTAAGACGCCCCCTGGCTGGGGCCCTCCCAGCCATGAAGGGGCTGGGCCAAGGATCAGCTCCCACGCTCGTTCGGGAGAGAGCCCACTGAAATGACTAGCCCACTCTCATGCTTCAGGGCTTCAGCCAGGGGGGTCAGGAAGGAATTTCCCTCCCCTCCCCTCATGCCCAATGGGGCTATTTATCCCCCCCACACCTTCCTCTGAAGGATCAGGGAGGGTGGAGACAGACCATCTGACATCCTGGGCTCTTTTAGGGGCCTGGCTCAGCTGTGGGGTGCGGCAGACAGGTGCTATACATAAGGGCACCCCGGTTTCCGTTCAACTCCACACGCTACCCTAACTCGCGCAAGCAGCAGGCCGCCCTCCCTGTCCCACTACAGCCGGACAAGGGCTCGCCCTGCACGAGGGTAACCAGTCTGGAGGAGGGATCGCGAGGCTGCGCTGGGGATATTGGCTAACCCCACTCTAGCTCTTGGCAGCCACAGATCTCACTTCAGGGGGGTCGTTCCCATTTCAACAGATGGGGAACCTGACCCCTGGGGGCTTGCCCAAGGCAGCCAGCGGGCCGGCTACCTGTCGCTGCCCGGTTCGGGCCCCGAAGAGAGCGACGAGAACCCCAGGTCTGGGAAACCTGCCCTAGAGTCGTGTCGATTTCCTTGAACCAGAGCCGCTGGCTGGAAGGGGAAGCTGGACACACTAATAAGAAATCTCGCGCCAATTGAACCCTTCCTCGACCGGACTGCAGAGCCGGCCCATAAATCCGCCATGCCCACACACTGGCAGAGACGGGGAGCAAGTCACCCCAAGCCTGCTTCGGTAGCTCCCGGCGTCGCTCGCTCTCAGGCAGCTTCTCCAACGCATGAATCCTCCTCACGGCTCTGACCCCTCCCCAATTTATCCTCGTCCGCCTTGAATCGTGGGTACCAGAACCGGGCCGCAGCAGGAGTTCAGGGCTCCTCTGAGCACGCCCCGCCCCGCCCCCAGATCACGCCAGCCCGCGCTGGATTTGCGGACGCAGGGTGGGCCGTAGTACTGAAAGGCAGCTCTCCAGGGGACGGAGCAGTCGAGGGAATGAGAATCAGGACCAGAATCAACACCCCCCTTCCCCCGAAGGGCAGCTGGGAGGGGACTCGGGAAGGCATCGCTCCGGAGCGGGGGGCGCTGCAGGTTCCCCAGGCTCTGTCCCGTTACTTACCGAGCAGGAAGAGAGACGGGCCGTAGTACTCCGCGTTGCTGATGACGTGCTTCAGAGAGGTAGGCAAGGAGCCATCCATCACTGTGAGGGGAGAGGGGCCGTGAGACACAGCAAGGGGAAGGGGGGGACTCCCCTTCGTATGGGGAGAAAGGAGGGGGGCTGGGAAGCAGGATTCCTGGGTTCTCTCCCCAGCTCTGAGAGGGGGGTGAGGTCTAGTGGTTAGAGCAGGGCGGGCTGGGAGCCAGGACTCCTGGGTTCTCTTGGCAGGGGAGGGGGCAGAGGAGGAGATAGGCAGCTCAGATCCTGCTCCCACCCCTCGCCCACCACAGGCGCCCCCTCACCGTGGCGGATGCCGTCCGAGAAGGCGGGGTCCTGGATGGCCTTCTTGAGGAAGTTGAGCATGGATTTGAGGAGGGCGGCTCGCTGTGGGATACACTGCACGCCTGCGGATGAGGGGAAGAGGTCAGCACCCGGGTCACTGCTTGCCGCCCCCCGCCCGCCCCACCCGAGCCAGCCCAACCCACCGCTGCGGGGGGCGACGACGGCACTGGTCGCGCCGCCGGTGCTGCAGCTGGGGGCAACGGCGCTCGGCGTCCTCACTTCCGCCACCACCACTGCTGCCGCTTCTGGCCGGGGCTCCGCTGAGGTCGAGGGGCCCGGGCTGCTCTCCATGGCCACGTCCGACACTGCAGGGGGACACGGAACGTTACATGCCAGGAACCACACACACCGGGATTCCTCGGCACCGTGCCGGCACCCGATTCCTTCCAGCCCCAGAGAGCCGGCACCTCTCTGGGGCTAAGCCCTCTGGGAGTGGGGACTACGGGTTAGAGCAGGGGGGCTGGGAGCCAGGACTCCTGGGTTCTCTCTCCGGCTCTGGGAGGGGAGTGGGGGCTGGTGGTTAGAGCAGGGGGGCTGAAAGCAAAGACCTCTGGGAAGCTCTTTCACTCCCAAACCCCTCCATCTCCCGGGGCAGGAGACCTGCAGCTCGGCCGACCCCAGGCCAACATCCATCTCCACGGGGTTTCAGCCGCAGCGCCCAGCCCAGCCACAGACAGCTCCCACTGCTAGGCAATGCAGGGGGAACGCACGGCTCAGCCACCCCCCAGTGCTCCGGGACGTTCCCAGTTACCTTCCATGTCAGTCTCCATCTCCTCCCCTTCCTGGAGGGGGGCGGTGGGCGGTCTCTGGATTTTTGGCTTTATGACGAAGGGGCACTCCTGGCGGCACAGGTCCACCTCGTGCTGGGGAGAGAGCAGGGCGTTAGCGGGGGCTGGGCAGGGGGGGCGGGGGTTGCCGCGGCCGGCGGGGGGCCGGTTACCTCTAGCCGGTAGATGAAGATGGAGAGGCCGCTGTGGGACTGGAAGGCCGCCATGTCCAGGTTGGTGATGAGATCCACCACGCGGACCGCCCGGGTCACGAAGGTGATCTGGTCCTGTTCGTCCCCCAGGAACTTGATCACCTGGCGGGGGGGAGCAGCGAGATCCCTGGTTACAGGCGAGCCGAGGAGCGGGGCCACGTGCCCCCCCCGGGGGCTTTGAAACCCGCCCTAGTTCCGCCTGCTCAGCATGAGGGGGACGCCCGGGGGGCCAGCCGAGACCACCTCAGTCCCATCCAGCCTTGGGATCTGTGACCCGGGGAACCCGGGATCTGCCCGGGGGCGTTCAGTGCCGGCTCCGGGACAATCTCCAGAGAGGGCAGGAGTCCTTTGCTCCCCAGGCCCTTCCATTGAGCCAGCCAGCTCTCTGCCCTCGGGCCACATGGGAGCTGGGGCCCCTGTCCTGTCCACCCCGCTCCCCACGTCACCTTCAGTAAGGCCTCCATCATGCCGCAGGAAACCAGCGCTTCCCCGCCCGCGTCGTAGCTGGCCAGGTGGTAGAGGAAAGAGAAGAGGGCCGTGGCAAACTGGTGAGGGTACGGCTCCATGGTCGGGTCTGCAAGGGACATCCTAGTCAGCTGTTCGCCTGGGTCTCCCTCGGACCTGCCCCCAGCCCCGTCCCCAGCCTGGCCCCACACCCAGCCGCTCCCCCGGCCCCTCACCCAGCCGCCCCCGCTCACCGATCATGGCCTGGATGCAGTTCCGCACGAGGACCGGCAGGAAGCCGTGGTAGGAGGCGGTTCCCGTGCAGTCGATGATGCTGCTGAGTTTCGGGGTCCGCTCCAAGTGGACGATGGAGGTGAGGGTTCTCAAGGAGGCCGCCTTGATGTCCTGCGTGAGGTGACGAGGGGCATGAGACGCCAAGCCGGGCCCTGGCTTCCCAGCGCCCGGGGGGGAAACGGAGGCACAGCTGCCAAGGCCATCCTGCATCAGCAGCTGGTTGGGTTCCCCTCCCACGTGAGTGGGACTGACAAGCACAGGTGCCCCGAGAACCCCGGTACCCCGACTCCATGGGGTTACCAGCCATCCCAGCCCCCCACCTGGGACACTCACCATGAGCTGCTTGTCCGTTATCTGCAGCACGTCCACCAGCTCCTCTATCAGCCCGTTGTACAGGATGCTGCTGGCCGACTCCTGCAGGGCATTGGAGTACACTGCGGGCACAGAGGGGCAGCGCGTTAGGCTGCGTGGCACAGCTGGCATCAAGCAGGGCCACTGGGCAGCAGCGCCAGGCCACGCAGGAGGCAGGCTCCACCCTGCAGGCGGTCAGAGGCCCCCTTACCTAGTATGGAGATGGCATGCAGCCGGGCCTGGACAGCCTGCAGACGCTTTCTGTGGTTGGAGAAGCCGTGCGCCAGGCGGATGTGTGTGAAGAGCAGCATCTGGAGTGGGGCGGGGGACAGAGAGTATGGGGGGGGGTATTACGGTACAGCCCACAACCGCGCCCCACCCTTCCCAGCACTGCACAGTTCCCCACCACCACCGCCCACAAGGCAAGAGGCTGCCCCCAAGTAGCTTGTAATCATTAGAAGGGGGGCAGGAGGGGAAACTGAGGCAGAGAGGCACGGGCTCTCTCCCAGAGTCAAGTCAAGCTGAGGATAGAACCCAGGAGTCCTGGCTCCCAGCCCCCACCCATTAGACCCCACTCCTCTCCCAGAGCAGGGAACAGAGCCCAGCAGTCCTGCCTCCCAGGACCCCTCCTCTGACCACTCGCCCTGGGGACAGAACCCGGGAGCCCCGGCTCCCAGTCCCCCGGCGATCCCCCGGCACTGACCTGCTTGTCCTTGGGGATGCTATACATCTTGGTGAGGGATTCCATGATCTCGGAGGGGCTTTCCGAAATCTGCAGGAGGAGACCAGACGAGGGCTCGGCACCGGGCAGCTTCAAACCCGCGTCCCGTCCCGTCCCCCCCCGCCAGGCCCAAAGCCTTACCTTGTCCAGCTGTTCTATGTGGATGTAATGCAGCGTGTTGCTGGTCGTCTGCAAAGGAAGGGGGCGGGGGCATTAAAGGGACAGCGGGTGGGAATTGGGAGGGGGAGCTGTCCACAGCTTCGGTCAGTCTCCCCACACAAAAGCTAGGAGATGGAACCCAGGAGTCCTGACTTCCAACCTTCACCACACCCACCCCTCCTGGCACCAGGGATAGAGCCCAGGAGTCCTGGCTCCCAGCCCCCTGCTCTAACCACTAGCCCCCACTCCTCCCCCAGAGCTGAGGAGAGAACCCAGGAGTCCTGGCTCCCAGTCCCACCTCGCTCTAGGGGGCATGGCGGGCCACGAGCTGCTGAGGGTGGTAGGCGTCCTGACGCCGCAGGCACGGCTAAGGAAATCTGCCCTTCCCGGATGAGTGCTGATAGCTCAGGGCACTAAGGACAGAGCTTGCGAGCCAGAGGCAAGCAGGGCTGGGCCCCCCGGAATTGGCCTCATTCCAGGGCCTTTCAAGCTACGATTCCCTCCCCCCTGCCCCACGCTGGGGTCTCCCCCTAGGGGATCAGCCCTCCCCGGCCGGACACTCACCCTTTTATCCACTTTGACCTCGGTGCCCAGATCTGCATAGAACTCAAAGTGCAGCGTGGTGGCACTGGGTGGGTATTTCTACATAGAGAGCACAGCACGGGGGGGTCAGAGCACTGCAGGGGCCAGCCTGCCCCTTCCCAGACTGGGGAAAGCCCCACCTACCCCGCTCTTCTCACCGCTCAGAGCTCCCCCTCAAGAGGGAAACTGAGACACGCAGGCCAAGCTGGGACTAGAAGCCAGGAGTCCGGAGCGCCAGCCTCATGTGCTAGCCGCCCTGGCAGGGCGCCATGTGCTGCTGTTTCAGGGAGGGGAGACGGAGCAGCTACCATTACAAGGAACCCCCTCCCAGAGCCGGGGAGAGAACCCAGGAGTCCGGGCCCCCAGCCCTCCTTCCAACTCACTAGACCCCCCTCCCCTCCCTGTGCCAGGAATAGAACCCAGGAGTCCTGGCTCCCAGCCCCCTGCTCTAACCCACCAGCCCCCATTCCCCTCCCAGAGCCGGGGAGAGAACCCAGGAGTCCTGGCTCCCAGCCCCCCCTGCTCTAACCACCAGACCCCCCTCCCCTCCCAGAGCCGGGAGAGAACCCAGGCGTCCAGGAGAGAACAAGCGATGCGGGGCAGCACTGGGGGTCCCCCAGGAACTCCGCCCATGAGGGCTCAGGGTGCGGACAGCACCAGGGGTCCGGCATCTGTCACCGCCCTGGGCCAGGAAGACGCAGCTCAGGGCGTGCCAGGGCCGGCTAGCGGAAGAGAAGGAAGCCAGGGACGGAAACTCACCACCATGTGCAAGTCTCTACAACACCCGGCCAGTCCAAAGCCGTTTTCCTTGCCGCCCCAGCTCTGCGGGAGAGGAGAGGAGAGGAGGGGGGTTAGCCACATCCAGAGCCCCTCCAGCCCTGCCCCTCCCCACCTCCCGCGGCGTGTGGGGCGCTCACCTCGGCCAGGTGCTGCAGCCGGGACAGCAGGGGCGCCCGCTTGTCCGAGCCCAGGCGCGTGATGTAGTTGGAGCGTTTGCTGAAGACGTAGAGCAGGTTCAGCACGGCCAGCACCACCTGCATGTCCGAGGAGGCCAGCAGCGTGGTCAGGTGCTGTGGGACAGCGGGAGGGGTTAGACACTGCACGGGTCGGGGGCTTCTCGGGGCTCAGAGCTGGGGGATCCCAGCCTGAGCCAGGGAGAGAACCCTGGAGTCCTGGCTCCCAGCACCCCAACTGTCAGCTCCCACTCCCCTCCCAGAGCCGGGAGAGAACCCAGGAGTCCTGGCTCCCAGCACCTGAACCGTCAGCTCCCACTCCCCTCCCAGAGCCGGGGAGAGAACCCTGGAGTCCTGGCTCCCAGCACCCGAACCGTCAGCTCCCACTCCCCTCCCAGAGCCGAGGAGAGAACCCAGGCGTCCTGGCTCCCAGCACCCGAACCGTCAGCTCCCACTCCCCTCCCAGAGCCGGGAGAGAACCCAGGAGTCCTGGCTCCCAGCACCCGAACCGTCAGCTCCCACTCCCCTCCCAGAGCCGGGGAGAGAACCCAGGTGTCCTGGCTCTCAGCCCCCCACTCCCCTCCCATGAAAGCCAGGGGCCCTGCCTCCCCACCTCGATGGAGCTGTAGAGATGCCGGGAGAAGCTGTACTCTATGAGTAGGGCGGTGAAGTTGAGCACGGCCAGCAGCAGGGCCTTGAGCTGCTCCCGCTCCGGCCGGTCGCACACCAGCATCCACAGCATGTTCTCCACCGTCTGCCCGGCGTCGGCCAGGATGCCGTCAAAGCGGTCCAAGAGATCCACCCAGTGGTACAGCTCGCACTGAAAGGGGGGAGACGGGGTGAGGGGAGCAGCCAGCGAACCCAGGAGTCCTGACTCCGCCCTGCCTCTACACGTCTCTTCCCCCCCACAGCCCCAGGCCAGTCCAAGATGGAGGCTCTTACCCTTGTGACCTTATGAGTGTAACTTAATATCTCATTGAAAGGTGACAGGGCCAGGAAGAGTTAATTACCTCCCAGACTGACCGGACCCAGGGCCGAACTGTAGCGACTGGCTAGGAAGATCTGTGACCGAACAGAGCTGTGAAATGCAGCCGCATTGTTAGAGAGCGAAGGGGAGCGGTTTGCTCAGGGCTTGTGATGGGAGCAAACAAGTCTTGTCTATTGCTAGAGCTTTGATTCAAAGATCAAAAAAGGAATATTAACATGTAGGAAGACACTTGAGGGAAATAGTATTATTGTCTCTATGTCTCTTTGAAGGTTGGGGTAACCTGGATCTGAACTGTGTAATGGATAAATGACCCTGGGCTAATTGCCAGGATGTTTGGGAGAAGGAGAGTTAGGCCGATTGTTTTCTCAGGCCGAAAGGCTGCAGGAAATGTATAAAAACCCTGGGACACGATCCTGCTGCATCTCAGATCTGCTTTGGGTCCCAAGAGGGGGAACTTGGAGCCACAAGGATTGAGATCCCCAGTCACTGATTGGCGTCACCCTGAATATGGACATTGGACTATAACCTCCGGACTATTTCTAAAAGGACTTTTGGCAACTACAAACTCATCTCTGCTATGCATCTGAACCTCAAGAATTGAACTCAGGTCTGTCTGTATATTGATCTTTGAACCAACACACACACTCCTTTTTTAATACATTTTAGCTTAGTTAATAAGGATTGGCTCTACGCGTGTATTGTGGGTAAGATCTAAGTTATCATTGGACCTGGGTGTGCGGCTGATCCTTTGGGATTGGAAGAACCTTTTCTTTTCTATGAGATCAGATGTTCAGGAATCATCATCGTATCTGACGTGTGTGTCTGGCCGGAGGCCGGAGGCCAGGCACTTTAAGGGAACTGCGTTGTTCGGACGTCTGAGGAACCAGGGAGGTCCTATGGAAGCTCTTTTGTGCTGGTTGGTAAATCTAAGTGTTGGCAGATCCACCAGCTTTTGGGGTTTGTCTGCCCCGTTTTGTTTGCAGTTCACCCTAATTGAGTGACCTCAGCTGGCTCCCACGGGCAGCACCGTCACAACCGTACACTAACCACCAAGTGGTCCCTCACGAGCCACGGGCTCGGCTGGCGGCCACCACTGCGCCGGCCTGGATCACAGCTGGCGCCCCTTAGAGGGGAAGGCCCCATGCCCCATTCCCCACCCACTGAGCCAGCCAATCCCCCGAGGGGACGTGGTACCTTCTCCTCAGTTCTCACAGATCCCTAGCAGGGGACCCCCGCAAACAGTGAGCGACCGATTCCTGCCAAACCCCCGGCGACGGCTGGAGGTCCCAGCCAGCGGCAGCCCCAGCAGAACGGCGAGCGCCCCAGACACCCACCTTCCCGATGTTCCATGTCTTGATCTGTTGCAGTTCCAGCAGCAGCTGCTCATCGCTGCAGACTCTGAGCTTGTCGATCAAGGCCCTGCAGTCGGCAGGCTGGGGAGAGAAGTGGGGAGAGGCAGGTCAGGGGGACCAGGCTGCTGCGGGCCTGGGGCCATGATCCGGCCGGACCCCCTCACCCCGGGATTCTCCCAGGGCCGATTTCAAACATGCCTGGAGAACCCCGCGGTTCTGAACCCCAGCCCTCTGGCATCGAGGGAGAGCACTCCCTCTTCACATGCGGGGACCTCAACACCCACTACAAGGAGCAACAGTTTTCACACCAGGTGGGTCTAGTAGTTAGTACGGAAGGGCTGGGAGCCAGGACTCCTGGGTTCTCTCCCCGGCTCTGGGAGGGGAGTAGGGGCTAGTGGTTAGAGCAGGGGGGGCTGGGAGCCAGGACTCCTGGGTTCTCTCCCCGGCTCTGGGAGGGGAGTAGGGGCTAGTGGTTAGAGCAGGGGGGCTGGGAGCCAGGACTCCTGGGTTCTCTCCCCGGCTCTGGATTCAGTTTGATCCCAGTAAACATGGCAGCCCAAGCATGGCCTGGCAATTCCTAGGCCAGAGGATTTACATCCCATTGCGAAGGTAAGATCCCGCCCGCAGCGGTATTATCTCCCAGTCAGCATGATGGCCCAGCTGTCCAGTAGCCCAGCACTCCGCTCATTAGCCAGCCCTGAGCCCTGTGTTCCCCAGGAGCCTTCCAGCCCCCAGCGATACTCACAGCCTCGGTGGGGGTTTTCTTCAGTTTCGTTCGGTCCACTTTCATTTTTTATTCTTTTCCACTTTCTGATCCTGGAAGGGAAGAGCAGAGAACAGGCGATGAACACGGGAGGGCCAGGAAGGGAGCCTCACAGCCAGCAGAGGGGTTTGTCCTAGTTGCACTGCCGTAGGATCCAGGCCCCCTTGTCCTGGCTCAAGACCCCACCATGCCAGACCTGGACAGACAGCGCTCCCAGGCGGGCCCTTCCCCCAGCAGGGACAATCTAAGGAGACCGGCCACAGGTCTCGCCCAAGGTCACGGATTAGTGGCAGAGCTAGGGACAGAACCCAGGAGTCCTGGCTCCCAGTCCCCCCCCCTCCCCTCACACACACCGCTAGACCCCGACTCCCCTCCTGAGCTGGGGACGGAATCCAAGAGTCCTGACTCCCAGATCCACCCCCTCCAACCCTCACTAACTACTACACCCCACCCTCGGTCAATCGAGATTGGGGACCCCATGTGCCCACGACTCAAGACCAGGGTCCCCCTAATCACACCAGACTCCAGCTGACCTGCCCCCTTCCCACTGCACCAGGTGCCACTCAGTTCCCCCTTCCCTCAAACAAAATCAGCCCCCTCTGTTGTGCCAGCCCAGCTCCAGCCCACGGCCCATCCCACTGGAGCGGGGAAGGGTGACCCCCAAGAGTTACCCAGGGCAGGGCAGGGCGACATATGGGCGGAGCCAAGGCTGACTCCGCCCCCAGCCAGCCCGCACATCTGTCCAATAGCCTGGAGTTCCAGGAATGCCCCCACGATCCATTCTCTGCTTTCCCCCGCTTTCCCCCCTGCTCCCCACCCGGGGCAGGGGGCTGGGTCTCCGCTCCAGCCCCCGGGGGTTTGAGCGCCTCAGAAAGGAATCTGCTTCTGACCCTTGATTCAGGCTCCAGCCCCGACGTTGACTTGGCTGGCCCGGAAGAGACGCGAGCCCAACTGTCCCCCGCCAGCCGGCGACTCTCGAGAGCTGGGTCTGACCCGTAGGCACCCAAATGGCTTTGCTGCTCTGGGCTGCAGCTGGCCAGCTGTCCAAGGAGCACAGGCTTCGGGACAGGCACTGGCTATGCAGGGACCCCAATCTCAGCGGAGCCCCCTTGATTGCCTCACAAGCGCCCAGCAAGCAAGCGGCATGGCTGGATTGGAACCCACCCCAGGCAGATCAACGGCAAAACCACAACAAAAACTTCCACCCCAAGCCCGATCTCCCCCTGCACCAAATGCCTTCGGGTTCAGAGCAAGGCAGACAGCTTCCCGGCCCCCAGATCAGCCCAGAGGGGAGGGATCGGGGGCCGGAACAGCCCCAGTGCCTAGTTTCAGGAGTGGCTTCGCAGTCGTCCCCAGCCCCCGGCAGCCCCCGGCCCGCAATGCTTTATTCGACACTGGAGAGACCACGGCTGGACTGCGGTGCCCAGTTCAATCAGAGAGGGGCTGGCGAAAAGCCACGATTAATGGATTCGCAAACCGGCCTTCGAGCGATGACTCCAGGTCCGCCAGCTCTTCAGCTTCCCAATGAGAAGGTGTTAAGGGGGGACCTGAGCCCAGACGAGGGGAACCAACGTATGAGCACAGGCTCTTTGATCCCGCAGAGAAAGGTCTAACAGACAAGCCGAGCCCCATTGTGCTGGGAACACACAGACCTAGAGAGCCGGGAGGGAGACTCCGGGCCCCATGCCAAAGCCTGAGCCAGAAGGAGGCACTTCTCCTCCAGGCACATGACCTCCGCTGACCCCTGCCCTTGCACTCTGCTTTTTAGGGTCGGGCTGCCCCGCAAACAAAGCCGGAGCCTGCAGCCAGGCCAGAACTACAGCTCCCAGAAGGCAGTGGGCTGGCCTCGGCCGATGATGTCACGGCTCCGGAACAATGAATGTGCAGAAAACCCCCGCAGGGGAGCAGTGGGTGGGAGCGGTTTGAAGAGATGGCGTTTGGGGGGCGGGGAGGGGGGACATGCTTAGGGCTGCTGGGGCAGACTCGGGCCCTGAAATCCAGCGTGCACGCTCAAATCCACAGCACGTGCACACCGGGAACCTGAGCTGTGAGAACGACCGCACGGCCCGTTCTCTGGCAAAGGAGCCAACTGGCGCTAACCCCCCAGCACACACTACGGCCTTGGAGCAGCCCTGCCCGCTTCCTCTCAGGCTCTCTCCACGGCACGAAGGGCCCCCGGGGATCTTACCTGGCCCCCGTAGCGCACAGGCCAGGAACTGCCCCTCGACAGGGCCCAGAGCCTGAGCCTGATTTACAGATGGAGAATCAATCGCTCCCTTGGTTGCTCACTCTTGGGTCAGGCTGGGAAGGGGGGGGGGAGCAAAGCGAGAGGAACGGGGAGCCAGGACTCCTGGGTTCTAGTCCCACCTTGGCTCCCTAAGGCGAGCCAGGCGAAGCATTGGGTCCCTGGGCAGAGGCTCCTCATGCAAATTGTGAGCTCGGCCAAGGCTACACTACGCAATGACTTCGGCCCCCGAGCTGGACCAGCCCGTGCACCGGTGTACACAGCGCTAGGTCAGCGGGCGACGAACCCACCTGCCCGCGTTACGACCGCCTCACCTCTCGCTTCACACGCCCGTCGCCAGCTCTTTTGGGGCCGCGCTGGGCGACGAACGGGGCCGCCGACCGAAAAGCCCACGCCGGGTGCTTTAAGACACTAGACGAAGCTGGTGGCCAGGAGACAGGCACGAAGCAGCAGGTGCGGCAGATTTCTCCTAGATTGCTAGAGCCGCTTGGCGGAAGTGCCAGAGACCCCCGACTCCCTGGCCAGAAGAAAACGATCGAAGCAAAGGAACCCAGCTTGCCAGGGAAGAGAACAGCAGAGAAAGGCAGACCAAGGCTGAACAGCTGCAGGACACAGGCCAAGCACCAGTTGCTAACAGTTGAAGGGAATGAACCACTGGCACAACCTCCGGAGGGAAGTGACCGACTCTCCCATCGCTTGGCGTGGCGAGATCAAGACCACTTGCCTTGCTCCAAGACAGGCAAGTTTAGGGCTCTGGGGGAAACTGACGTGCATTGTGACATTTAGATGTACCCAGGATCCTTCCAACCTTCTGCCCACCATCCCAGAGCAGAACCACGGCCGGGCTGGCCTTAGCCCAAGGCTCGGTCTCAGTCAGTGGCCGGCACCGGCCGCCTCAGGAGATGATGTAAGAAGCCCCGAAGTTATGGTTTAAGTTTCCCTTCCAGATAACCAGAGTTTGGCTCAAGCCAAAGGAGGAGAATTTAGATCCCTTCCAAGAGCTTCTTTAATTTGTACAATACTCTGGATGTTCTTGTGACCGGTACACGTGTCCACGCCTGCTAAGCTCTTGGCCTCTTGCGGCCAGGAGTTCCACCGGCTAACTGGGCGCTGCGCACTTAAAGGAAGTTTCCTTTGATCAGTTTGGAGTGAGAGGCCATTGGGAACCCAGGAGTCCTGGCTCCCAGCCCCATGGCCCTCACTCGCTACAGCCCCAGGAGTCCTGGTTTTGCAGCACTTCCAACGTGACTGAATAAACTGGACGACATTCAAAAAATGAGAGAGAGAGAGATTGGAGGAGCACAGCAAGTGCCGCTTTCTGTAAAGCAAGTCAGCAAAGAGACTGGCTCTAGTTTAAGCAGGAATTAATTCAGGGAAGTCCCATGGTTGGTGAAAAGAGGAGGCCAGACATCTTCACAGGCTGCCAAGACAAGTGTTTGAAAGGCAGGTCTTGGGAGGAGCAGCAGCCAAGGTCCATAGATGGCCTGACGCGGGGCTGGGCCAGGAGGGAGGTTTATTAGCCCACCCGCCCGTTGTACACAAAGGAGGCCACCTTCCTGGAGGCCGGGGAAACGTACTGGTCGGAGACATTCTTTACCGAGGCCAGTTTCAGAGCTCTGACCTTCTGGAGCCCAGCCAGCATTCCTCCCCGCCCAAAGGAAGTCATTAATTATAGCCTGACAGAGCATAGGACCGGGAACCAGGTCCTCACAGATCACACAGTCCCATGCCTCAGTTTACCCTTTCTAAAATAGCCACATACATGAGCGCCAACAGCCTGCAATGCACAGGAGGTCAGACTAGACAGAACTAAGGGTCCCTTTTAGGTCCAAAACACTTTCACACCCCGTTGGGGGGGTGGTTAGATTAAGTTCCTCTGGCCAGGACCAGCTCAGCTCCCTACACAGCTGATGCCTCTAGACGCCACGGTCAGGCCAAACTGAACGATCACAGAGGAGCCTTCCGGCCACATAAGCTAGGAATCCAGAACTGGAACAATGGGATCTTCCCCCCTTTTATAGAAGGGACGCTCAAGGCATAGGACAGGCCAACTGAACCCAGGAGTCCTGGCTCGCGGTACCAGACGCCAGCCAGAGGAACGGCCGACTCCTGCACCGCCGGTCAGGTCCTTAGGGGAGACCGTCCTGGCTCGCGGTACCAGACGCCAGCCAGAGGAACGGCCGACTCCCGCACCGCCGGTCAGGTCCTTAGGGGAGACCGTCCTGGCTCGCAGAGCCTGCCCCTCGGCAGATTGAGTTCTAGCGGCCAATGAGCTCTCCTGCCACGCAAGGGGCACCAGCCACCCCGGGGCTGGACAGCACGATCCTACCCTACAGAGCACAGGACCCGGGACAGGGGAGGGAAGCAGCCGGATGGGAGAAACATAAGGAGACAGTGAGCCAGTCCTGGCCTGATTAGGTTCTAGCCCAGGCAGCCCACGTGACATCATTTTGCTCCCCCAAAGGGCAGGTGGGTGCCATGCGCTGGGACCTTTGGGCCAGGAGAAGAGCCGTGGTTTGATTCCCAGGCCGGGGGTGGAGGGACAGTTGGATGAATGTCATCAGTAAGAAAAGCTGACTTTGGGGGTGTGTATCTCAGGCCCCATCTGCTCAAACAGTCCCAAATGTGGGCTGCTCACCCTATCCCGAGTCCATAGGAGGGGCGCCAAACTTCAAGGCAATCTGAGTAACCGTGCGGATTTGTCACTCGTTTTAACACCCGGCCCTTTGATCCGGGCGCAGGCCGGTGGCTGGGACCAGCTTTTCACGTGTCTAGACTGTGAACTCCTCAGGGCAGAGACCTTCCGAC